ATATTTGTAAATTTTCTAGTTTTCTTTTTGTAACTGATTTCTAGTTTTATACCATTGTGGTCAGAAAAATGCTTGATCTGATTTCAATCTTAAATTTGTTAAGACTTGTTTTGTGGCCTAACAGTTATGTATCCTTGAGAACTTTCTGTGTGGTCTTGAAAAGACAGTATATTTTGATGCCGTTGGATGGAATTTTTTGTATGTATATTAATTCTATTTGCTCTAAAGTATAATTCAAGTGCACCTTTCCTTATTGGTATTCTGTCTGGATGATCTAGCCATTGTTGAAAGTGGAGTACCAAAGTATTCTCTTATTGTATTGCTATTTCTCCCATTATATTTTAATATTGCTTTATATATTTAGAAACTCCATGTTGGGTGAAAATTTACAATGGTAAATTGTACTGAATTCATGAATTGACTCCTTTGCCATTACATAATGACTTTCTTTGTCTCTTGTTACAGTTTTTGACTAATAACCTATTTTGCCTGAGTTAAGTATAGCTCTCCCAGCACTCTTTTGTTTTCTGTTTGCATGTAATGTATCTTCCCATCACTTCACATTTAGCCTATGTGTGTTATTAAATTTGAAGTGAGTCACTTGTAGGCAATATAAAGTTGTCTTGTTTTTTAAAAAAAAGTTCATTCAATCATTTTGTTTTTTCATTGTAGAATTTAATCTATTTACATTTAAAGTAATTATTTTTAGCTAAGAACTTCCTATTTGTCCATTGTTTTTGGCAGTTTTGTAGACTTTTTTTTTTATTCCTTTTTCTCTTTGCCGTCTTGCTTTGTAATTTGATGGTTTCCTGAGTAGTATGCTTTGATTTCATTTTCTTTTTTTTGTATATCTACTATAGGTATTTCCTTTGTGATTACCATGAGACTTATATAAAATCTATAATTATTATAATTATAATTATAATAGTCTATTTTTAGCTGTTAACTTACCTTCAATCATATACAAAAATTTGACACTTTTACTCTTCTATTTTATCTTTTTGATGTTACAATGTACACTTTTTTATACTGTAGTCCATTCACAAATTAGTGTAGCTATCGGCCTCTTCTGGCCTGTAAGGATTCTGCTGAGAAATCTGCTGAAAGACCTCTGGAGTTCCCTTGTATGTTATGAATCTTTTTTCTCTTGCCTTCAAAAGTCTTTGTCTTTGATTTTTGACAGTTTAATTATAATATGTGTGTGACATCTTCATTGGGTTGAGCCTTATTAGAGATCTTTGAGCTTCATGTATTTGAATGCCATATTGCTCCCTAGATTTGGGAAGTTTTCAGCCATTATTTCTTTAAATAAGCCTATTCCACTTTCTCTTTCTTCTCCATCTAGGATTCTATAATATGAAAATTTAGTTATCTTAGTGGTGTCCCATAAATCTTATAGGTTTTTTTATTCCTTTTTATTCTTTTTCCTCTGACCAGATATTTTTAAATGACTCTTCTTCAAGTTTATAGACTCTTTCTTCGGCTTGATTAAATCTACTCTTGATGCTTTCTATTGCATTTTTTATTTCATTCATTGTTTTCTTCACCTTCAGAATCTGTTTTTATTAATGATTTATGTATCTTTATTGAACTTCTCACTTTGTTCATGTATTGTTTTTCTGATTTCATTAACTTGTCTATCTGTATTCTCTTATAGTTTCCTGACCTTCTTTCAAACAATTTTGAATTCTTTTTCATGTCATTCATAGATCTCCATGTCTTTGGGATTGGTTATTGGAATATTACTATGTTTCTTTGGTGGTATCATGTTTTCTTGATTTTTATTCTTGTTCCTTGATGTATTGTGTTGCTGTCTTTGCATTTGGAGAATGCAGTCTTTACTGACTGGCTCCCAGAGAGAAATGCCCTTAACAAACAACCCAGTTAAAGATTCTGAGGCTCTCCCAGACCTTGTCTATGAAAAAGGGGTGTGACTCCACACCTCTTATTCTCTCTTGCAGAGGAATTCTTAAGAATGTATGCCCTCTCTAGATCCCACAAAGCTGGACCAGGTGCTGAGAGGCTCTTGTTTTTTTCCTAGGGTGGTTCCCTAAAATGCTCAAGTTGTATGACTTCTCCCAATCCTGCAAAGTTGTGTTGGCTGTCTGCATAAAATGCTTACACTTTCTGTCCAAGGGAACATGCTTGGGCTGCTGGTCTACAGGAGTTGGGGTAGGATGGGGCATGTAGAGTTTTTGAGGCAACTGTGGGCTAGTTGTGAGGTGGCCCATAGGCAAAACATCTCAAATTGCTCATGAATGGGCTTCCCAATGGAGTCCATGCAATGGTTACTTGGGCCTATGGCCTCGATTCTCTGCTCCCAGCCTCTTCCAACCACTCAGCCATGCTGATCACCTCAGTATTCTGGATGAGGCAAGAAAACAGTAGGACTCTTGGGCATTGTCACACACAGCTAGGGGAGCTTGGTGCTCACTATCTATACTCTCACTTTCCCTTGTGGGAAAATCACAGGCGGGAGGGGGCAGGTAGTCTCTCTTTTAACTGAGCTGTGCTGTCTCAAGGGAGGTGTGATACAGGTAAAGTGAAACTGTTCTTAAAACTCCAATTTGTCTGTTTGGGGATTTTTTTTTTTCTCCAGTGGTATGCTGGAACTTCTCTGCTGGAGTCCCAAAAGGTACCTTGTCTATAAGTAGCTGTCAAAATTGATGTTTCCGCATGGAGATGACAGTAGAAAGGTCCCCTTCCACCATCTTGCTTATGTCACTCTAGTGGTACCTTTTCTGAAAGCTCATTGTATCAGAAGAAGCTGAGCACATCTTCAGCAGTAAACAAGAAATTTATTCCCATTTTCATTCCTATATATTCCTTTGTGGGCTAAGGAATATAACTGTAGTAGTTATATGTCCTGCTTATCAAATATTACATGACATAATTAATGTTAAAATTAAATAAATAGAAGACACAGCTTCTCTTTTTAAAGCCTACTGCATAAAATGCTATATTAAATTCCAAAGGATTACAATACAAAAATGTGAGAACGGTATTGAGTAATAATGAAAAGATTTCCAGTAAGATTCATGGACATTCAGAGTAATTTTTAATTTATGAGAATCATATAAAAATAAATATAAGTAGTTTTATTATCAGTAAACATTTTTTTTCTGCTTTCTTTCCTTTATCAGAAGTTATTTTATTACTTGTTATTTCTGTGCTCAGTACAGCAAAATTTATTACTAACCTAATGCTAAAAATCACATTATAAGTTAGATAGAAGCTCTATAGCCTGTAAACATTGAAAATGGAAGAAAACATAGACTCAGGCCAGAGGTTGTAAGTTGGCAATTTAGGGACCAGTTTTTATCTACATACATATTTTAGCCTCCCACAGTATTTAAAAAAAAAAAAAACCACACAACAGCTTTGAATCAGTTGTTGCATTTAAAAAAAAGAAATGTTTAGATGGAAAAAAACCTAAGTTTTCATCTCTTGAAAAAACAGACTGATAATATTGGACTATCTTCTTGCATCACAACATTCAACTGTAGCAGTGATCTCCTTTACTGGAGTGTGCTCTGTGTAATTTATCATTGACTCTACCACCCAGTCGATTTTCTTTTCTTTTTTTCCTTACTGTCAACATGCAGAAACAGGATTTCTAAGAACTTCACTGAGATGTAGTCATGTCATTTCATCTTTCTACTTTATATCCTTTATTAGAAGTTGTCTTTAGGCCGGACGTGGTGGCTCATGCCTGTAATCCCAGCACTTTGGGAGGTGGAGGGGAGCAGATCACCTAAGGTCAGGAGATCGAGACCAGCCTGGCCAACATGGTGAAACCCCATCTCTACTAAAATTACAAAAAATTAGCTGAGCATGGTGGTAGGCACCTGTGATCCTAGCCACTCCAGAGGCTGAGACAGGAGAATCGCTTGAACCCGTGAGGTGGAGGTTGCAGTGAGCCAAGGTCACGCCACTGCCTTCCAGCCTGGGCAACAAGCAACAAGAACAAAATTCCGTCTCCAACAAAAAAAAAGTAGTCTTTATTTCAAAGAGAGATTTTAGCAGCATACTTAAGGTCAAAGTGATGATGAAATAGAGGTACAAAAGAAAATATTATAAATCATAATTTTAGTCAATAATTATATACTTATAAATAGTAGCTTTATTATGTGCTGTTTTTAATACAGTAAGTCCATATTTATTGCTGTTTTTCCAATATACTATAGTTATGATGTATACTGTTTTTTTTTAATTGCTGTTACTTAAGGCTATTTTTCACTTTAGCCTTAAAAAACACAAATTTCAGTGACAAAATGAAAATGCTCATTATAATATGTGTTTATTCACAAACAAAATTAGATAGTGTTTTAATTATTCAAACATAATACCTATATTTTATATTTATCTTTGATTAATTTCATAAGAATTATTCAAATTTAAAGCTATAATTAATTTTAGTTTTGATTTGCTAATCTCATAAAAATTTATATGCATGCTAAAGCCAAGTTCACAGCCTATGATATGTTTAAGGCAGGTATAAATTTTGTTTTATTTCATAACTACTATATCCTTGCTTGATGTAGCAGAGTTTTTAATTTCGGCTTTGCTACCAGATGTAGCAGAAATGTCTATTTGTTATACGAGGAGGTTATTTCTTCAAGTATCCATAAACTTTATTTTCTTCAATTTTTTTAAAAATTGTTTTTCTTTTTTTTAATTTAATTACCTTCACTATTATCCCTTTTTACCTAAATTATAAATATATAATGGAATATATAAATATAAAATACATTATAAATATATAATGGAAATACCTGAAATGTTTAAACCTGAAAACTGCTGAGCAAGTCCACCTTTAAGTTGCACAACCAACTAAAATAAACGTGAAATTTTAGAAAAAGAGGAAAGAAACCTATACATTCAGGCATATAAGCAGGGAATGATGTCTACATGAACTATACATTTGCTATGGATGATACTGAATCACTGTTTATTAGGACAACCACTCCATTTATTTCTCTTCTACTGTATTCGTCCAGGTGGGGTAAAACCTTGTGCATTAAACTGCTTGGCTGAAGGTTATAATTTCTACACTGAACGTGCTCCTGCGGTAATTGATGGGACCCAGTGCAATGCGGATTCACTGGATATCTGCATCAATGGAGAATGCAAGGTTGCTCAGATTTTACTCCATTCTGTTGTGGTTTCTAAGACTTTTGACTTTTTCTCGTTAACTCCTATTTAATACTATGTTTATTTTTTTTTTAAAAAAGAGGGCCACATTTTAGAGAAATTCAGTTTCCATAAAGAATAGCAACATATGTAAAGGTAAAATGACCCATTCATATTCAAGCACCATACAAATGTGGTTTATTACAGTATTCTAGTTATTTTTACAGTGATTGTCTAGTTATTTTTACAGTGATTGCCAGGAGTATGAAAATATTTTGGATTTTAATTTCCATTACCATTCTGTTCTGTTTACAAACAAGATGATAGAAAAAGAGAGAGAATGAGGATTCAGCTCTTATTCATATGCCTATCATATGTTCTTTTTGGAAGATTATTTGATAAATTTCATAGCATAAATTTTCCTCAAAGTGTGAAATAGCTATGCTCCTCCTACTTTATCTCCTTCTGAAGCATTGACAATGGTTTTCATGTGGAATTAGTCTTTATCTTATTAAAGCATTTGCTTTAGGGAATTAGTCAGACTATTTGGGAATTGCAGGAGCAAATCCATGCTATTTTCCTAGACCTGTGTATGATTGTATCATAATAAGAAAAGCCACAAAAACCACTATTTTCATAAATTTTTTTACTTGTCTGGTTTTGTTTTACTTTAAAGAGAGGCATAAATTAAGTGCTTCAAACTGAGAAAGACGAGATAAAAAGCACCATTTTACTTAGTCTCATAATTTCTTGGAAAAGTTTGTATCTTTCTGGCTACTTGTCTCCAAATATATCTGATGATGATTCGGTTTGTGTATGTATATTTGTGTGTGTTTATGTATCTGTGGGAAAGGGGTACTTTATTTTCTTGAAGAAAACATTATTTTTGTCACAGTATTCAAGTTTTTCAAATAACAAAGAACCAAGTATGGTTTGTATTAACAGATTACCTTATTTTTACTTTTTTTACTGGAAAAACAAGTAAATGAATAAGTTATTTGATTAGTATGGTTCCAAGAATTTCTCTGACACACTGAATATTCCTCTCTGTTTTCAGCATGTAGGTTGTGATAATATTTTGGGATCTGATGCTAGGGAAGATAGATGTCGAGTCTGTGGAGGGGATGGAAGCACATGTGATGCCATTGAAGGGTTCTTCAATGATTCGCTACCCAGGGGAGGTGAGTATGTAGAGAGAATTCTTCCTCACACATCTGGTGTACTCGGAGGAGCCAAAACGCTTGGTTTTCGCTCCCCCACATTTTTCAGATTTTTTTTAAATTTAGGTAATGGTTTCTTCCCCAAATTCCTTTCAGTTGTTTTAGAGTTAAATGTGGCTTCATGTAAGATATTTTAAGGAAATGTTCTCCCTCTCTGCTTAACTTCATTTGGCCATGTTTCTTTAAGGTGTACATTCTCACAGGGCATTGATATGAGGGGCATCTGGTGAGGAAAAAAATGAAGCATTATACATGTTGAGGCTTTTAAAATATCTTGAGATAATTTTAAAGAAAAAGACTGTTAAATGCTGTTTCTCTAAAATATATTCATGAACCCAAAGGGTAATTTGCCCATCATAATTTATAAAATGCAAAGTCAAAGAAAGAATGGAATCATAAGGAAATGATTAGTATTAAATGGTTACTAAATACTCATTTCCTGACCAAGGCTGCTTAATACTGGCTACCTTCTATGTTCCAGGCTACATGGAAGTGGTGCAGATACCAAGAGGCTCTGTTCACATTGAAGTCAGAGAAGTTGCCATGTCAAAGAACTATATTGGTATGTTAGATTGGTATGTTAGTTTGCTAGATTTTAATAGTTAATGAGGAAAAGTAGCATTGTATCATGAAGGGAAAGATATACTACTTTGAGATAGATCACTGGGAGCTAAAATGAAGGAAGCTCCGAGTTTTATAGGACCACATGGACAATGCTAAACAGAAAGATTAGAATTTATAACTTACTCTTCACTGGGTTATTTTATTTTTTAAAAAAATAATTTTTGTTTTTTTTTTTTTTTTTTTTTTTTTGAGATGGAATCTTGCTCTGTCACCCAGGCTAGAGTGCAATGGCATGATCTCGGCTCACTGCAACCTCCGCCTCCTGGGTTCAGGCGATTCTCCTGCCTCAGCCTCCCGAGTAACTGGGATTACAGTTGCCTGCCACTACACCAGGCTAATTTTTGTGTTTTTAGTAGAAACAGCATTTCACCATGTTGGCCAGGCTGATGTTGAACTTCTGACCTCAAGTGATCCATCAACCTCAGCCTCCCAAAGTCCTGGGATTACAGGCGTGAGCCATCACACCTGGCCAAAAAAAATCAATTTTATTTAGGTATAATTTACATATAATAAAACACATCCATTATAAATGTACAGTTCAGAGTATTGATAATTATATATATACACACACACACACACACATAAATACCACAACCAAGATATAAAACATTTTTATGATTCCAAAACTCTCCCTCATTCCCTTTTGCAGTCAAATTCCCTCAACCTCAGCTTTATTTGAAGGCAAACACTCATCTGTTTTTGACATTACGTATACTACTTTTACTTATTTGGAACCTCACACAAATGAGCCCATAGAGTATCTATACTTACGTCTGGCTTTCTTCACTCAGCATGTCTTTGGGATTCATCTATTTTGTTGAGTGTTTCTGAAGGTCATTCCTTTTTACTGCCAAATAGTATTTTATTGTGTGGATATACCATAATTTGTTTATCCATTAATTTATTGATAGATATTTCGGTCATTTCTAGTCTTTATTAAACAAGCTTTTGTGAACATATATTTTCATTTCTCTTGCATAAATACTTAGAATGAAAAGAATGAGTCATATGATATACGTGTTTAGCTTTATAAAAAATTACAATACAGCCATAATGGAAGACAGTATGAAGGCTCCTCCAAATATTAAAAGTAGAACTACCATGTGATCCACTTCTGGGTATATAGCCAAAGGAAATAAAATCACTATCTCAAAGAGATATTTACACTTACATGATCATTGCAGCATTATTCACAATCGCTAAGCTACGGAAACAACATACGTATCTGTCAACAGATGAATAGATAAAGAAATTGTGTTATTTGCAGGCAATAGAATATTATTCAGCCTTAAAAAAAACAAGGAAACTATTCATTTGCAACAATATGGATGAACCTGGAGGACATCATGCTAAGCTAAATAAGCCAGACACAGACAAATACTGCATGATCTCACTTATATGTGGATTCTAAAAAACTCAAACAGAGAGTATAAGGGTATTTACTAGGGGTCAGGGAGGAAGTGGAATGGGAAGATGTTGGTCAAAGAGTACAAACTTTCAGTTATAAGAGGAATAAGTTCTGGATATCTAATATACTGTAGCTAATAATGATATATTGTATACTTGAAATTTGTTAAAAGAATAGATCTTTTTTTAAATTTAGGTAAAATGTCTAACGATCATTGCATTTTAAAATTAAAATCTTTAGTTTGGTGGCGGGGAGTCAGGGGGTTGGCAACTATTTCTGTTAAGAGTCAGACAGTAAATCATATAGTCTTTGTTAAAACTATTCACTTCTACCATTGTAGTGTGAAAGCAAACATAGGTAATAAATAAAGGGGTGTGACTGTGCTCCAATAAAGCTTTATCTACAAAAACAGGAGGTGATAATGTTTCGCAGCTTCTTGTTTAGATCATTTGTATTTAATGTAATTATCTTGCTGCTTTTCTGTTTGTCCTGTGTATTTTCTTCCTTTTTATTCTCCTTTCATGTTTTCTTTTAGATTAACCAAGAGTTTTGTTGTATTTCATTTAATCTCTACTAAACAGTTTATTAGCTATACTTCTTTGTGCTATTTAATTAGTGGTTGCTTTAGGATTTACAAAATGCATTCTTAATTTATCATAATACATTTCCAAATAATATTGCACCATTTTGTGTATAATGTAAAGCCCTTACAAAAGTTTACTTCCATTGTCCCATTCCATTCTTTGTGCTGTTTTCTAATACTTTCCACTTCTCTCTATGTTATAAATTCCACAATATATGGATATTATTTTTGTTTCAAAGAGCCAATTATCTTTTTAAAAAAATTTTAAATAAGTAAAATTATTTTGCATTTACCCACGTATTTACCATTATCTGGCATGCTTTCTTTGTATAGATCTGAGTTTTCATCTGGTATAAATTTGTGTGTATATACATGTAATGTTATCATGTTTCTTCTCATTATATTTATGTTTTCCTTTAAAGTTCTTGAATATATTTATAATAGCTATTTGAAAATTATTTTCTGCTAATTCCATAATTTTTGTTATTTCTGGGTCTGTTTCTTTTGCTTTGCCTTCTTCCTGTTTGAATCACATTCTCCTCCTTTTCTGCATTGGTAGTAATTTCTCATTGGGTGTTGCACATTGTGAATGTTTCTTTGTTGAGAACCTGGATTTTGATTTATTTCTTTAAAGAGTCTTAAGTAACTTGAAGATCAGCTTGATCCTTTTGATGTTTGCTTTTGACCTTTGTTTGGGTAAATGCAGAATATTCTTTATTCTAGAGCTTGCTCAGCCCTACTACAAAAGCATGATTCTTCTTGGGTTTTTACTGAATGCGCTGGTGATTGAAATGCAGGAGTTCTGCTTACATCTCCACAGTTTTTTGCCTGGCTTCTTGTAATTTTTCATACACATATGCAGATCAATATTCAGCAACAGATTTCCTCCCTTCTCTCTTGTTCTGTAGTCCTGTATACTCCAGCTATGTCAGCCTTCCTAGTTTTTGATCTCTCTTCTTAACTTGGTAATTAACTTAACTTGATTCTCCACCTAAAGAAAGTGTCTCCAAGCAGAAAGTTGTGGAGACTTATCATGATCTCTGCATAGTCCTGTTCAATGCCTGAGAACAGCTGATTCATATATTTTGAGAGTTTTCTGATTATTTACAGTGGAAGGACAAGTCTAATACCAGTTATTTCAACATTAAAGGAGAAGTTCTATTTAGTTGATGTTTAATCCTTTGACATAAGTTTTAGTCTCTCCAAAAATCCTTAGTGAGACCTAAATGAATTTTTATTTTAGTTAAAATATTATTCCCTTTTTCTTAAAGCATTTAAAAATAAGGGTACATCCAGAGTGTGTCTTCAGACAGAATACCAGTATTATCAGGCTCTTCTTTTGTTTATGAAGACTTTATTATTTTTACACCATAATTTTGAATTATTTTCTGCATCAACAATACTCAAAACAAAAATAAGTTTTCTAGCCTCACCTTTTTCCCCCTTTGGTAATTCTCATTTCAGAATGCCACGTCGCCTTCCTTTACTCATTCTTATTTAATGCCTCTTAAATGCTTGGCATTTTTCTGGACTATATTATGGCACAATTAATTGTATATTCCTGACAGCCAAGAGGAGTTAGAATTCCTTCATTTAGTAGTTGAAAAAAAAAAAAAAGGAGTGAGAGCTCAAACTGAAGGAGAATTCAAAGCTGCAAACTTGTTTTTATCTTTAGTTTTACTATTTCATATATGACAGTCTCAGATGTCCTTATGAAACCAAATGTTTTAAACTATAGACAGAAAACCATTGCAAATAAGAGTTGAAAATAAAAGTTTTTAAGTACACAAAAATTTCAAGACCAGGTAATTCTTACATTTGCTTGTTTCTATCTCAAAAGATTAATTCGATTTATTTTTTGGCAGTTAAATGAATCTTCACAACATATCTGAAGTTAAGAAACTACAAATATTTTTGCCAGGCAGATGGGGGTCAGGAGACAACAATGGTCTATAGTATGAAGGACAAAAGCTATAGAGTCAGAGACTGTGCACCTTGACTCTTTAGTCCTTTAGGCTACTTGCTTATCTGGTCTGATGAATCAAAGTCTTTGCAACCAGCTAGCATACTAACAAAATATGAAACTGACATGTTTACTTCTTTCCTGTTTGTTTATAGGAGTTTTTCTATAGTAGTACTAAAAATACTTTTTCAGCCACATATACTTTTAAACTCTCTGTGTGTGTGTGTGTGTGTGTGTGTGTGTGTATTTCTTGTAAGAGATTTTTTAAGTATGCATGTTTATTAACACTTTCTTTTTTTCTGTTTTTTTTTGTCATGCTTAGAAAAACTTTTCATACCCCAATATTATGAGAAAAATATTATTCCATATCTCCTCCTAACATTTAAGATTTAACTATTTTTATATTTAAATATTTACCCATCTGGCATTTATTCTTTCTCTCTTTTTTTAACTTTGTTTTTATTAGGGTGAAATTAACATTACATAAAATTAACTATTTGAAGTGAACAATTAAGTGGTATTTAGTACATTCCAAAACATTTACATTGGCCCAGAAAAAAAAAACAAAAACCCATATCCATTAAGCAGTTAATCCCCATTCTCACCATCACCAATCCCCTGACAACCACCAGTCTGCTTTCTGTCTCTATGGCCTTTTACCTGTTCTGGGTATTTTATATAAATGAAAGCATACAATATATGATATTTTCTGTCTGGTTTCTTCCACTTAATGTTTTTGAGGTTTATCACATAATAGCTTGTATCAAGACTTCATTATATCACAATTTGTTTATTCATTCATCCATTGATGAACATTTGTGTTTTTTTATTTGGGGCTATTAGAAATAGTGCTACTATGAATATGTGTGTCCAAGTATTTGTTTGAGTACCTGTTTTCACTTCTTTTGGATATGTGCCTAGGAGTTGAATTGTGGCATTTATTCTTATATAAAGAATGAAATATAAATTCAGCATTTTTTGCCAAAAGGATAGTCTTCTGTCTTAGCCGCATTTCTTGTTATCTCTCCTTTACTAATTTACAACATTTCCTTTATCATACATAAAATTCCCATATGTACTTGGGTCTATTTCCTAAATCTCTGTTTGATTTGTGTTCTGTCCATCAGCCTGTTTTCAAGTACAACAGGTTGTCTCCACCCCATATCCATGTAATTACTATTTCAATATTTGGAAAGGAAAGTCTGCTCTCCACCATCATGTTAACTCTCATCCCTAGTTATTCCTTTTGTCACAATTTTCCTTCCTAGTTCCACATATTTATTCCTTCAGGTTTACCTTTTGTTGCTTTCTATCAATGACATTATAAATATTTAAGTAATATCTTCTTATCATTCATGTGAAAAATCACCATTTTAATTTGTACTTAAGAATATGGTCAAGATTCATATATCTAAATGGAAATTGATATTCATTGTATACTTTATTGCAGTAATTAATCAGTGACACTTTGGTAAATGAAGTTTCACATTTTTAGGTGAATTATGATTTGTTTTCTAGCTTTAAAATCTGAAGGAGATGATTACTATATTAATGGTGCCTGGACTATTGACTGGCCTAGGAAATTTGATGTCTCTGGGACAGCTTTTCACTACAAGAGGCCAACTGATGAACCAGAATCCTTGGAAGCTCTAGGTCCTACCTCAGAAAATCTCATCATCATGGTAAATGCGTCTTTGCCATTGTATTTCTTCTGTTTGTAATTCCCCCTTGTGACATAGGAAGGAACAGGTTTTATTATCTCTGCTTTACAGGTGGTGTAATTAAGGTAAATAAAGGTAAAATGATTTACCAAAGGGTGTTAGAACTGTGCAGAGTTAAGGCCATAGTGCTGTTGCTTGAATAATATTTTTATAAACAAGACAGACAAAAGCAATAACTCCAAAATACCCATGAAAATGGGAGGAGAAAATTTGATATAAATGCCTGTGTTTTATATTATCTTAAATTTCCTATAGGACTTGTTTTGACATTTTCTTCTTCAAAAGGAATAATAAATATCTGAATGAAGGCTCATCGTATTTTAATTGTCTTCACCAGTTGTTTTCAATGGCAGGTTCTGCTTCAAGAACAGAATTTGGGAATTAGGTATAAGTTCAACGTTCCCATCACTCGGACTGGCAGTGGAGATAATGAAGTTGGCTTTACATGGAATCATCAACCTTGGTCAGAATGCTCAGCTACTTGTGCTGGAGGTAAGATGCCTAATAGGCAGCCCAACCAGAGGGCAAGATGGAGAACAAAACATATTCTGAGCTATGCTTTGTGTTTGTTAAAAAAAGCTAATTGGAAACATTTCTTGCAGGTTTGCTTCAAGCTGTAATTTAGCAAAAGAAACTTTGCTTTAATTATATTGTATTCCATTTGTTTTCAACCTCATGTAATGTATGCAGATTTGTTGGTAAAATACATCTTGGCACAATGAGTGTCTCTGCTGATGCTTCTCCCAAGACTATCTTGAAGGTGGGCTGTTTGCCTTTCGTGAACACATTCTTGGTAAAGAACATCAAAAGTTTTAAAAAAGAAAATGAGCAAGAATCAGACATCACAGATGCAACTTCTTGTAATGGGGGATGAAAATGTATGGCTGTGTGCTTGTTGTGTGTGTTTGTGTGCCTGTGTGTCTGCCACAATCCTATTCAAATCCCTTCTCCTGCCATCAAAGTTAAGGGGCTATATACTGGGATGCTACAATAATTACTGGTATATGGGTTCTGGGTTAATGGTGTATACTGACCCCATTACAGTCCCTCAGAGTAGCTGCTAGGCGGTGGTTGGTGATGTGTTGGTTGTCCCATGTGCGTTTTTCATGGGTGCCTTTTCCCTACAATTTACTCTATTCCTAATCCTCCTCCCTCTAGTGGCCACCAATGCAATTCTTTACCTCTGGCTGGGAGAGCAGGACAGTTGGCTTCCTTCAAAGCCAACACCCTTGCTGCTGCATGGACTGGTGAGTAGAAGTGCTGTGCAAGCAGCATCTTCCTTCTCTCTGGAGACTAAATGCATCGCCTCCACCGTATACCTTGATCCTAATAGGCAAGGAAACAAACCTGTCTCTCAGGCCTAGGCTGGACTAGATCACCTCACCATTCCAGAAGCAAAGATTAAATTTTAAATAGTGATATTTAGAATGGGCAAAATTAAAATACAGTAAATCATCTAATATATTACCTATACTCCTTTTCTAAACTATGCAGAAATATATGATTTTACATAGACCATTCTCTCTTGTATTTGCATTTCTAAACAACTCTGATTTTCAAGTCTTAAGTAAGTTATTTTTAGACAAATAATTATCATATAATCTATTCAGTATTTTTATTTTATTTTATTACTTGTTACTATTTTTTCGAGATGGGTTCTTGCTCTGCTGCCCAAGCTGGAGTGCAGTGGCTTGATCACTGCAGCCTCAACCTCCTGGGCTCAAGTGATCCTCCCACATCAGCCTTTTGAGTAGCTAGGACCACAGGAGCATGCCACCACACCTGGCTAATTTTTAAAATTCTTGTAGAGACAGATGTCACTGTGTTACCTGGGCTTGTCTTGAACTCCTGGCCTCAAACATTCCTCCTGCCTCAGTTTCCCAAAGTGCTGGGATTACAGGTGTGAGCCATTGCTTCTAGCCTAATTCAGTATTTTTAGACTCATACAGAATTAAATCAATGATTAACTACAACTCCAATTTCAATGTAAAGTCTATACAACATGAAAAAAAAAGATGAACAATAAGATATTAATGTTCTCTACTATGTAAAGTATCATGAAACATGGTTACGTGTAATTTGTGACATATTTTAAAAGATCTATAGTTCCCATCCATTTTATGAGTAAAATGGCTGATGATTTATAATGTAAAGTTTTTTAAACCATAGGACATTATCATTTTTAAATAAATAAATATTTGCAACTAATTGATCAAGTACATGCCATTGCATTATTTTTAGTGGCATTTGTGTGTGTGTGTGTACATATATATATATATATTTCTTTTTTCCAATTAAATTCTTTTTATTCTATAAATTAACTTTTCCCTTTGAATATTCCAACAAAAAGTCTTCTAAACAGTACATATGTAATTCAGACCCTGGAGGTGGGATAAACTTATTAATGAAGAATTAAAATCATTTAAAGTTTAGGAAATCTAATCAGGATAGTCTAAAGTTGAGGTGGATTAGCTTGGAGAAAGGGAAGCTAAGAGGATGCGTATTAGTATCTTTAAGTATGCAACAGAATGATGAATGAGAAATTCTTAGTGCCAGTTCTTCTTTGTACTGAAATCGCTATATTTGGGGATGGTTTAGACACAGTCTTGTCTGAGACCAAGAAGGGACTAAATGAATTCTCAATGTTCCTTCTACCCTACAATTCTATTTGTTCATAAAGGACTGTCTCCTTTCTGAACAAATAGAATTGTAGGGTAGAAGGATAAAAAAGAGGAAAAAGGCCATGAGAACTGAATTTGGAAGAAAAACTATAACTTTGTTGAGGTCAGAAAGTTAAAAGTCTAGATGAGTGTTATTTTTTCCCTAACACTTGTATTGAGAAATAGAAATTTCTTGTGGTAGGGGATAAAAGAAAAACAGGGAGGGAGAAAAGCCTCTAGAAGGAGAGCTTTCTCTTCCTTGTTGTTTTTCCTTCTTTCTATGATTTGTAGCTCCTGGTCTTAGATATTGGAAGTGGTTCTGGAAACTCACATTCAACTTGGTTGTGGGTGATTATGAGCATTCTTGAGGCTATTGCCTTCTTCAGATGAGAGATATAGAGGGCATGATGTGAAGAGCTGCCATTTGTCTTGGTAAGTGGTTCTTAAAGTCTGGTCCTGGACGAGCAGCATAGACATCATTTAGAAACTTGTTAGAAATGCTAATCTGGGTGCCCCATTTCAGAACTACTGAACAGAAACACTTCAAGTGGAGCCCATTAATCTATGTTTTAACAAGCCCTCCAGGTGATTCTGATGCTCACCCAAGTTTGTGTACCACCGTTCTTGGCTGACAGAGAAACCAAACCCAGCACTCTAGACACATAGAATCATGTCTTCATCACTGAAGTCTGTGCGTTTTTATGGACTCATTTTGCCCCTAGAACAATATCTGAAACACAGTAGGTGCTCAATAAGCATTTATAGATTAGTGAATGAGTAAAAGGAATTAATTTTGGCAATTATATCTTTGCGCTTGTCTTTTCTAATGTGGGAAGTGAAAGTTTAGAGTTGCTACTTATACAGTGGGGCAAAACTTTTGTCAACAAAAACATAGTATAATTTTAATTAGCTTGGGTAAGTAAAGCCAAGCTTCTCTCTTGTTTACTTTTGTTTGTTTGTTTGTTTGTTTTCTTTTGTTTTGGGTTTTTTTTTTTTTTTTGACAGAGTCTTGCTCTGTCACCCAGGCTGGAGTTCAGTGGTGTGATCTCAGCTGACTGCAACCTCTGCATACCAGGTTCAAGCAATTCTCCCACCTCAGCCTCCCCAGTAGCTGGGACTACAGGCGCCCACTACTATGCCTAATTTTTGTATTTTTTATTGTAATTTTTGTATTTTTATCAGAGATGGAGTTTCAACATGTTGGCCAGGCTGGTCTTGAACTCCTGACCTCAAATGATCCGCCTGCATCAGCCTCCCAAAGTGCTGGGATTACAGGCGTAAGCCACTGCGCCCAGTCATCTTGCTTACTTGAAATAGGTGGAAAATATTTCCTAGGATATAGAGTGCAGGAATCAATGATTGAAGTTGCTTTTCTTACACATACCCTCACTTTTAACCCCAGGTTCTTTAAATATAGGAAGCTTAAGATTGAGGGAAGTAAAGTCACTTTAGGGTTTAGGAACTTTGACCCAAGAGAAACCAGAGTCATCCTCTCCTTAATGAAACTTCATTTTAGAGTTAAGAAACCTTTTAACAAAAAGTCATTTCTACCTAGCTTTCACTCAAAAACTGAGGATGAATACCAAATCATTTTTTTTTCTTTCTTTCTATTTTTTTTTTCTGTTGTTGCTGTCAATAAGCCTGTTGTCTTTATAAGGGACATTTTGGGATGGTTCCACTTCATTGTTTTAACTTCCTTCTTGGGCTTCTTCTCATACACTGGATTCTCTCCTATGGTAGCATGAACTTTCTTATACATCTTCCCCATCATATCTAGAGTTATGCTGTTCTTTATGTATTGAGAGAGAGCTGTTTCTTGTAAGCATCTTTATCTTCCTTCATTAAGTAGCACATGTAATCTGCAACATTCTGGCCCATGATGTGCTTTTGGTGTACTTCTACCTGAAACTCTTTGCTTTCAGAATCATAACCAGGGAATTGTTTGCTACTGTGAGGGATAGGTAAACCTCCATCCATAGCTCCCTTAAGGATGCTAAAAACTTTATTGCCAGTGGTAGTTCTAGCAAGGCCTCCATCCAAATAGCAGATAAAGGCACCTGGCTGAACACCAATGTTTTCCACATTACATTCATCTCCAATCACCTACACTTGGCCTTCATCAATCTTATCGATGCCAAACCTATTGTAAAGCCTGTGGGCCAGGAGCAGGCCAATACAATTTGCCACAGCGTCATTTGTCAGGCTTCATTTGTCATTTGTCAGACAAAATATGTCTTCACACAGTATTTTGGCAGTTCATGTGCATATGCTGTGCAGACTATCATATCCCCTTCTATATGGGCATAAGCAGTCTGACAAATGGTATCTCTGTTTGTTACATGAACTATCAACCTGTATTTGGGTGTGTTTTATTTATTCTTATCCTGTATCACCAGACATTTTTGAGCATAGTAATTAGTTTTACCCTCACGTCGTCTTCTAAATTTCACTTGGTATCTCTCAAAGTAAGCCTTATTCTAATTCAAAGTAAGCCTAATAAACTCCATCCTGTGGAAGAGACCCACGTTGTCTGCTGCTTGACAGAGACCTGGAGTTCCAGCAGTGCTAGGTGGAGAAAAGGGGTAAAGTCAGTTATTAACTGGGATACTCCATGCTCATCTCTCCAAGGAGGTGCTGGGTGCCTTGAGGCTGTCAAAGTTCTTTTAAATGGAAAAGAGAAAAAAGGAAATTATCTCAAAGAACTTTCGGTGGCAGTCTCAAAAGATCCTCCAGTGTTCTCACTTGCTATTATCCTGCATATGTTTGATTAATATCAAGACCTTTGTGCTTTAATTGAGTTTGGGAGCAATAATGATAGCTTTTTCTTATGAG